AACAAACCGGTTCCTAGATTTCCTGAACTTCCAACAAGAACAGTGATGTGGGCCATTATCTTGGACAGCTTTTAACTAGAGATGGGATAAATTCATGAAGGACAAGTCCACTGAGTGCCATCAGCCGTGAAGACTCCATGTTACGTCTAGGTTGAGGGCCTCGTATCTTCAAATATCAACTGTAGAAGACCAACCGTGGAAGAGACGTGGGTCCCCATCTCCTGCTTGAGAACTTCCCAGAAACCTCTATGAGAAAGCAAATGCAGCACCACGCTGGGCCTTGACCTTTTCCAACCAACGCTAGTTTTCTGAGACAGACCCCAAAAGGAGGCAGGTTCTTCAAAGGAAGTTTGGTCGTCTCCGTGGTTACAAGAATGCTCCAGAACAGGGTTCTAGGTCTTGCAGGCCACCGCTTGGGAAACGATCCATGTCAACACAATCCGTTGCCCTGGCCACTGGACTGCTGCCTTAGTTCCCATTTTCCTGGGCGCCTCTCTAACTTTTGACCCAGGATTTTGGACATTTCTTTCTGCAAAGCAAGTTTTTTTTCCTCTCTCTGTCTCTCTCTAATGGCGTTCCCTTTTCTTTATTCCTGGTGGCATTCTTTTGACAAGGATCAGATGCCCTCTGCCCCCCGCAAGGACATCCCCTGTGAGGAGGAGGAAGAGGAAGATGAGGAGGTTTGCTGGTTCCTGGGAGAAATGCTGCTTTTTTACTGTTTGGCCGTCATCGTTCTAAAACTCGGTTCCCTTGGGGCGAAGAGGGTAAGAGTCGGTCACCCGTTGTCATTTGTTATTTGAGGAGAGGACCTCAAGCCATAAAAATCCCACTGGATCAGCTCGGCCATGTTGTCCCCATAACGGGCAACCAAAACATCTAGGAAGTTTCATGCAGCCAACCCTCAAATCCGCCGCTGCGGTTGCACGAAAATGCTGATAGACTTCTGCGGCACGTGGAGCTTCATAGCAGCCATTGTGACAAACAGTCAATAATAAAGGTAGTCCTCAACTTACAACAGTTCGCCTAGTGACCGTTCAAAGCTACAACGGCACTGAACAAAGTCACTTATGACTGGTTTTCACGCTTACGACCCCCATGGTGACATGATTAAATTTCGGACGTTGGCCACTGATTCATATTTGTGATGGTTGCGGTGTCCCCGAGTTATGCGATCACCGTTTGCGACCTTCTGACAAGCAAAGTCAACGGGGAAAGCGAGATTCACTTAACAACCGTGTTAATAACTTAACTGCAGAGATTCACTTAACAACTGTCTTACTTAGCGACATAAATTGTAGTCGTTAAGTCGAGGACTCCCTGTAGGCCAATCTTGTCAGCGTACCTTCGACATGTCCCAAAGGGAACCACCAGGGCTTCAAATCTCGTATTAAGAGCTGGTTCAAAACCACGAGCTGTGTTCACACAACATGCTAAGGCGGTTGTTGAGGGAACAATGGTTTAGAATGTTGTGTGAATGCAGCCTATGGTTCTTAAAAACCCCATTATCCTAAGTTCACACGATACTGGACCCTCAAACTGTAAACTAATAAAACAAAAACGATATGATCTGTTTTTCTCCTATGCGTTTTCACGTTTCTTTCAAAATTGATCATTCACGTTTCTATATTTCCTGGCGCAGTTTTTCCTGAGACAACCTTGTGGAACGCTGACCTGCAATTGGAAGGCCCATTCAAAAGGTAAACACTTATGTTCCTTCAAGCAGCATGTTTTCCATCAGGGGTGTGCAACCTGGTCAACTTGAAGACCTCTGGACTTCAACTCCCAGAATTCCCCATCCATCCATCCACCCACCTACCTACTTACCTACCTCTATCTATGTGTCTGTCTGTCTGTCTGTCTGTCTG